CTCCAAAACATGTTTTGAGCCTTGATTTATATTTGTGATTTGAAGGAATTCGTTATTATCTTCATTGATTGTCTCAATATGATAACCATTGTTGCGAATATCATTAAAACTTAATAAATTTCTTTGAGACAATGGGGAGTATAAAGCATCAATTATTTTAATTTCAGTTCCCCAAGGCAATATTATAATATAGTGGCTCATCCGGAGCCCTCAATGATATTTGTACTACTCAATATGGTACTCACATTAATCCTTTTCATTATCAAATGAGAGAAATATTTTTTATTTTTAAGTATTGTATGAGTAGTTGCACTGTCAGCAAGGCATAATTCTTCACCATTCATAGCAAATTGAACTTGAGTAATATCCATGTTCTTCATGAAATAAAATATATGTCAAAATATTAAGCATAAAAATAATGATGATAAAATAAATAAATCAATAAAACACTCAAATAATTCATAAATTCATAAAGCATATAAAGTCCTTATTACAACCATAGAAATTAACATAAGTAAATAACTAGATAAAGTCTAATACTTAAAGTTGACACAAAATAATATAAATTTAATTATTCCCTTCTAGGGCATTGAAGAAATCACCAACTTCAATTCTAAATGAGTTGCATTGCCAAAATCAAAATTATTCCCTTCCGAGGAAGTAAGGAAATTAGCAACATCGAAATGATTTGCATTACCAAAATCAAAATTACCTTCACCATCTTCAAGAACAAGGTTTGCCTCAACTTTCTTTCCTTTCTTCAATGATTCTTGGTAAAATTCAACAAGATGCTTTGGATCGGAGTTCTACAAACCCGAGACCAATGACCTTTTCCTCCACAACGGTAACATATATTGGTATCACCTTTCTCTTTATCATCCCTACGTTCCCACTTCTGGTGGAAATGTGAGTTTGTGAAATGACTTCCTCGACCTCTACCATATCCTCGTCCACGACCCCGGCCGCGCCATTGGCCACGACCGCGACCTCTACCTCAACTACTACTGTCGGAGTGGTCTCTATTTTTAGTTTCTTTCCCATTATGGGTTGTCACATTCGCTTCAGGGAATGGAGTAGAGCCAGTAGGACGTGATTCATGATTTTTCATTAACAACTCGTTATTTTGCTCAGCCACAAGAAGACAAGATATTAATTCAGAATATTTTTTTTTAAACCCTTTTTCTCTATATTGTGTTTGCAGGACAATATTATTTGCATGGAAAGTGGAGTATGTCTTTTCAAGCATTTCTGCATCAGTAATATTTTATCCACATAATTTCAATTGAGAAGTTATTTTAAACATAGCTGAGTTATATTCACTAACAGATTTAAAATCTTGCAATCTCAAATTCAACCATTCATAACGAGCTCTAGGGAGTATCACTGTTTTTTTGGTGGTCATACCTTTCCTTTAAATTACTCCAAAGGATTTGTGGGTCTTTCACAATTAAATATTCATTCTTAAGTCCTTCATGGAGGTGATGGCAAAGGAATATCATGGCCTTTGCCTTATCTTGGAGTGTTGCTTCATTACCCTCCTTAATGATTTCACCAAGACCTTTAGCATCTGGGTGTATTTCAGCATCTAACACTCATGATAGATAATTCTTTCCAGTAATATCAAGGGCCACATATTCAAGCTTGGTAAGGTTCGACATATTTCACTATACCAAATAACAAGACAAGATTAAATAGCATACAATAAACATATACCATATGAAAACAATAATACTACTGTTAATGATTTAATCTAAGGGGATATCATGAGTTATACAATTCTTAACATATTTACAAGACATATTAGTAGTCTAAGCAAAATAGTCATCAAACTAAAATGGTTAGGAACATGTCACAAGCAAAATTAAGGTGAAGGTGCAAAACGAGAGTGAAGGCATATAAGGTGAAGGTGCAAAATTAAGGTGGAAAGCATATTGTAACCTGACATATAACACCTTAGTAAAAAAAAAAAAAAAAAGGGTTTTTCTACATTATAACCCTCCAACTTTTCGTTTTCTACGATGTGCCCTCCTCTTTTGAGAAATCTACACTATAACCTCAAAATACATTTAGTTTCTACACGGTAATTTTGCCGTTATCTTGTCGTTAACAAATTCCGTTAGTGGGGTCCACTCACCGCTAAATAATATTTTTTTATCGCTTTGCGTGTTGAAAATAGTTCCGTTGAAAGTTTTGGGGGCTATTTTAGATCTTAAGGGACCAAATTGAGCTCAGATTTAGCAAAAAAATAACATAAATGTCTCGTTTTGCGTATTAAATACGTAAACACGCAAATCGAGACATTTATGTTTTTTTTGGCTAGATTTGAGCTCAATTTGGATCCTTTAAGGACCAAAATATCCCCCAAAATCTTTAACGGAACCATTTTCAACACAAATCGATAAAAAAATACTATTTAGTGATGAGTGGGCCCCACTAACGGAATTTGTTAACGGCAAGGTTATCGTGTGGAAACTAAATTCATTTTGAGGTTATAGTGTAGATTTCTCAAAAAGAGGGGGCATATTCTAGAAAACGAAAAGTTAAAGGGTTATAAACTAGAAAAACCCAAAAAAAAAAACAAAATCGAAGCATATTGTAACCTGACATACTGTAACGTGAAGGTGGAAAGCATTTGCTATAAAATATAAATTGCTAGCATACTTACGGACAATATAATATCTTGCATCAATATTTGATACGTGTTAACTAATATTATAATTAAAATAAATACCTTTGGACTTTTTATTCTTCTTGGCTAGTATACTTACGGAGTGATAATGTAATAGTTTTCGTTTAAAGTATGGTGCTGATAACGTATTATAAAATAAGGGGAAAAGGGAGAAGATTAGAGAGAGATGTAGATGGTAATTATATTGTCTATATTCATCCATTTCATGACCATCTATATATATATACAAGATGTGAACATTGTAACTTATATGGACAATGAAGAGTCCATTCATGAGAGGGTTAATGTGGACTAATGACAAAGAAGGGTTACAACGATGCTATTAAAACCATACTTAAGGTAGTCATAAAAGAGATAATTACAAGCTATAATGAGCATACATTATTATTTTGTAACAATATTAAGATTTTAAGGCCGGTGGCATGTCATTAAATAAACCAAGTAAACTATAAAACCCCTTATAAGCTCAATGCATGATAATATAAATCAGCCATACTCCCTAATAATATTGGTCAATGTACCATTAAACCTTAAACGTTTGAAACTTAAAACCACTAAAAGTCAAACATACCAAATTGAATGATGAATTCATCTGCCATTAAGCAAATCTCCGAATGCTTTGTGAAGCCAAAATATGTGGTTGAAGAATCAAAATTGCCATACCACCTTTCTCCCACGGATTTAAGCATGCTTTCTTTTCATCACATCCAAGCCGGTCTCTTGTTCACCAAACCTTCCCATCTAAGTGATCATCAAGAGTTTTCAATCCTTTCGTTCCTCGACGGACTTAAGGAATCACTCTCTATCACCCTCGTCCATTTCTACCCATTAGCAGGTCAACTTGTCTCGGAGGTAGATGAGGATAACCACCAATGTCGCGTCTATGTAGATTGTAACAAGGGCCCTGGGTCAGATTCATCCATGCCGCCTTAGGCATGGTTAGGGATGGTAACGGGTCGGATCTGGATCGGGTCCGGATGGACCCGGATCCAGATCCGTTTTTGTATATAGGATCCAGATCCGACCCGGATCCGTCGGGTCTAGAAAATGAAGACCTGGACCTGGATCCATCGGGTCCAACGGATCCGGGTCCAAAACAGGTCCAATATATTTTGCCTAATTTTTTGCAATAAATGTAATGTTCGGGTCAAAAAAATTATTTCAAACTTACGTTGTTGGTTATTAATTAAGTTCAACCCCAAATTAACCAACTTATACACTCATATTTTGAATTAAAATTATAAACATTAAAAAAAATACGATGTTACATATGAGCTAGCGAAAAAACAATGATGTTGTATATAATATGAGCATCCAAAATTCATCTCTTGAAAGGGTTAATCTTTATCATTACTAACATTATCAACATTTTTAATAAAGAAACAAACAATTTTAGTTTTTTTTAATAGGAAAAATTAAAAAACGGGTCCACGGATCTGGATCCGGGTCTAGGGCCCAGATCCAGATCCGTTTTTGTCAGCAAGACTCGGATCCGTCGGGTCCAAAATTTGAAGACCCAGATCCGTGAAAAACGGATCTGGATCCACGGATCCGGGTCGGGTCCAGATCCATTGCCATCCCTAGGCATGGTTAATCATGACATTCTTTTTCCAAAGGACGTACCTTTGGTTGTACGGTCATTTTTAAACCTTTATGAAGAGGTTGTGAACTATGACGGTCACACAAAACCTTTGTTATCGGTACAAGTTACTGAGCTCTTAGATGGGGTGTTTATTTCGTGTTCTGTAAATCATTGTATCGCGGATGGAACTTCCACTAGTACAAAACTAACCTCAAGTAACACCCATAAAGTGTTAAAAGTGTTACTATAGACAATAGGTAACAGTTTATTAGGTGATACTTCCGCCCATGTTACCTAAGGTCTTATGTAACACTTTGAGTAACGTATGGTTACACTTTCAGAAGTGTTACCATAAACCCTCTTATGTATCACGTATTATATCATTTGTATCATTTTTAAAGTGTTACTTCTTATTTCTTAAGTAACACTTACTTATCTTTAGTAACATTTTTCAATCATATAGTGTCACTTTTTCAACATTATGTATCACTTTGTCAAACTAATGTAACACTATGTTCATTATTAGGTAACATTTTTCGATCTTCTTTTGACATTTAATAACACTTTATTTGACATTATGTATCACTTTTTGCAAACTAATGTAACACCATATTAATGAATAGGTAACATTTATTATTATTATTATTATTATCATTATTATTGTTATTATTATTATTATTAAAATAACTTTAATATGTACAGCAACAAAAAATTTGAAATTATCACATGTAATAGTCAATAATTTGAATTGAAATTAATTTCATAGTTCTTACAAAAAACATCCATAAACACCAATTTTTTTAATCTAATAATCAAAATAAAAAGAAAGTGAACTTCAGTCTCTTTTAGACCTTTAATCTCTAAAAAACAGTCAGCGCGGTTGCAGCAAACAGTAGTAACAATAGCACATAGCAGCAGCTAGCTAGCTAGAAAAAACATTGGGAGTACTTGTGCTAACTGCAGCCGTAGTTGCAAGTGCGGCACTTATCACAGTGGAAAATCTATTTTGCTGAGTTTCAACAGCTATTCTGGGATAAGAGACCATTTTCGTGTCCACAAACTGGGATTGAACAGCTGAACTAGACTCTACGCGAACAATTTCTTCTGTGTTTGCAGCTAGCACTTCCTTCCCCCTGATTTTCTCCAGATCCTGCAGAGTACAGGAGCAAAATATCTGATTAATTCATTGTTAAAGGACATCATAATGCCATATGACACTCATTATGTTGGTAGTATTTTTTTTATAGTATCAACAGCAGATGTCTTTCTTTGATTGCAGCAACAATTTTCCATCTTAAAGAACTCTCCTACTGTCCTACACATACCTACAGATATATGGATATATAAAATATGATAGATATGCTCTCATCAATCAACATCATCCCTGATCCAGCAAGTGCCACTTTGATTACAAAGATGATCAGATATCATCAATCATTCAGCATTATCCATATTTCAAAGCATAGTCCATAATTCATGGGCTCATCAAATTTATGCAAGGAAGTACCATCAAATTCTATAATTTACCCAACAGATGAACAATGTACATATATTAAGATACACAAGGTCTTGATCTGATCTAAAGTGTCAAAATGTAGCTTCAGAGTATTCATATCTTTTATAACATGAGAAGCAGGCCCAAATTCAGGTATCAGGTTATCCAAGAGTACTGAACCAACTTATAAAATTTACAAAGGCAGAAAGGTTTATATAATTAAATATGGTCTCAACCACTTAGAAAGACACATACATATCAGGTAACACAAAAAAAAAAACAAAAAAAAGGGTAACACAAAGCAATCTTATTCTGATACAACTGAGCAAAACAACAATAGTGAATTGTCATTACCATCAGACAAATAAAGACTGATATAATTGAGCAAACCAAGATTGTAAACTCTCATTACAATCAGATCAATAAAGTAAGGGGTTATCACGCAATTCTAAACTCAACAGATATGTAAAAAGCTTCTAGACTACGTACATCCCAGCCTGATGGTTTTATTCTTGCCAATACTAAAGTCTGATCAGCTATAATCACGCAATGCAAAGATAAAAGTGCATTGAAATTGTGCCAATGGTAGAAATTTACCTTAGTGAATTGAAGCCGGCACGTATAAGTCGCCTGCTGCCCAAGCACTTAAAACCACTCAGCTCAAAACTGCCAAATGTAAACTTTGTCACTATATAAAATATCAGACCTTGAAAATTTGACTTGCAAAATAGAGGTCAGAGTAAATTTTGTTACACTACACTTAACCACTAACTTACAAAAATCATAACATAACAAGTTCAAATAGAAAAAAAAAAGAAAAAGAAAAAAAGCACTTATATAATAGTTCAGATTGCCCCTCGGCAGTTAAATGAACATGCTAGAAAATGGTAATGGTATCCTATCAACAGTGGCGGAGCCAGGATTTGTAATCCGGGGGGACAAATTTCAAATGTTTAATAAATCGACAAAATTTTTTTGATAACATAATTGCTTAATATGCAATTAAAATCGCATATGAAATATGACAAGTATTCTTATATGACAAAAGAGGAGTGATTAAAAGATTCATTGCATATATATTAAGAAAATTATCAACCAAAAAAATAATTTTTTGTTGGTAAACCCCAATTTTAAGTTATGTAATAAATATGATTAATCAAATAACAAGCATTTAAATAAATTGATAATAGATATAAAGAGATTTGGGTTATATTCGAAAAAAATAAACACAACTTTGTTTGACTATTGAAATTATTACAATGTAATCTATAAAGTAAAATTAGTTCCAAATAATTAAAAAAAATAATAATAAAATAGAATTTAAGCGCACATAATTAAAGAGATGAAAAAATTACGAAAATATGTATTCATCAAAAGATCATATATAGTCGAATAACACATTAGTAATCATTATCAACAAGGCAGTACGCCGGTACTTGATTAAATAGCTAAATGAGAGTAGTTAGAGGTTTAAAGATTTATAATACTGTACTTTAAATATACGAAGTATATATTATACACTATATAACGAAATCCAAATAGAAGTAAATAAAAGGGAAAAATCCAAAATCAAGAAAAAGAAGTTAAATGGGAGCACTATGTATAAACTATAAAATGAAATAAAAAAATCTTAAAAGAGGAAAAAGGAATTAAAATTAAATAAAAATATATATTTGTGAAGACTCGATCCTAGAAATGAAGGAAGAAACAAGCCCTATTCTAAGCCCAACAACCACCAGACCATATTTAGCCTTTATGGTACAAGTTGCACATATAATATATATATATATTGTTATTTACTGAAGCCTTTTATGCTTACAAAAATAATTTTTTTATTTTTTTTTTAAATATGGGGGACAGCTGTCCCCCCATGTTCCTATAGTGGCTCCGCCACTGCCTATCAATGTAGGTAAGAAAGGAGTTGATCTGAATGAGTACAACCTTAGTGGCCAAACCTGAAGGGTGAAAGAAAGTCAAATGCTAGAGAGTAAGTCGTTGAGCATTACACAATCAGGTGACACTGCACTTTTTAGCTTATTATTGAATTGCATTGTTTTATTACTTTCTTAATATATGGCCAAAATTTCTAATCATGTTTGTAAGGTGTGTAGTAGCTAGTATTGTGATATTTTATCTGTATACTTTTTCCTGTTATATCTTCCTCTCAATAACTTAAAGTTTCTTTATGAGTCCATGGAATTCTGGAAGAGAAAGGCCACTACCACCAAGACATTCCCATTGTTTAAAATCTGGAAAAGTCTTATTGAAATTTTGTTCGAACTTTATCAGAATATATATTTTTAACAAGTACAAGAAAATTATGTTATCACATCTGTAGTAGATTGTAAAAGTAATTTCAAATAGTAGGCACATTGATAAGAATACCAATCTGAAACACCAATGTTGGCTAGAATCTGATTCACCTCTTCCCTAGTTCTACTTCATTCAAATGCTAGCTATAGCTAGGGTGGGGATTTAAGCTTGCAGCTGCTGCCTCGCCAAGACTGCTGAATTCATCTAGTTCACATATATTTAGGAATTAAATCAACTATTTCTGTTAAAATTAACAACTTCACATCATTCTTAATGAATATTTGATGCTTTATAGGAAAAGCATTAAAATTTAAGATCAATAATAAGATACATATAACATCGTTTAAACAAGAAAAGTTCATTAATATACAAAAACAAAATGCATAAAATCGTGAATAACAATAGATGTAAATTTCAATTTTAATTAGTTAAATAGAATCCAACCAACAATATAAACCCTATAAACTAGATTGTAATAATATAATTCACATGAAAATTATTGATAACATAACCAAAAACGTGGAAAATCCACCAAATTAACAAAATACCTGATTGGAAGCGCGAATTAGATGAAATCAGAGATGACTAATTCAACTGTATTTGTGATTTTGTGACAATTGAAACCCCAGATGGCGAATTTGTGACGAATGAAACCCTAGATGGCAAATTGAACGAAAAATACTGATTTTGTGATGAATTTCGCAAGGCAACAACGAATTGATGAACTGTATAACCAAAGATATAATGAAGTAATGAACACCGTAGTAGTACCGTATGCTATTATTCCTTCGCTCTCGAACTCTCGATTCATTTGATGATGTTGCTTGTGATTCAGATGATGGTATTTATCGATGATGATGATTGATTCAGAGGATGACGCTGTTAATAATGAAGGCGACTCCATTGATTGTATAATCTAAACTCATTCAGAGAGAGAATGGGTATTTGAGCAAGAATGAGAGGAGGAGATGGATTAGAATGAGATGTTAAAAAAAATGAAAAATAAAGGGTACCGCTCATTTTTTTTCTACAATGAGATTAGAAGAAAAAAAATATTTAATAAGGAAAAAAAATAAAAAGGATTGAGCATAAATTAAGGGTTTGTTCTGTTCACTTTATTTTCACTTATTTTAAGTTCAGTTAAGTTCGGATAAGGGTTAATAAGTTCAGATAAGTTCAGGGTTAATAAGTTCTAAATTAACGTTCTCCTCACCTTATTTCCACTTATTATATTTATATAGAGTTATTACTAATCAAGATTGCTTTTCACTTTTTTTTTTTTTTTTTTTTTTTTGTAAAATTTTATGTGTTTTATTATCATGATTTCATATAAGAATAAAGTAACATTTGCATAAAAAATAAAATTAAAGTAACGTTATACTCATAAGTTATGGTAAGACTAGATAAATTTTGCTTATATAAAAGTTAAGCAAATCAACAAGTTTATTATTTTTGTGAATAAAACAAAGGGAAATTAATGAGAATGAAAGTCAGATCAACAACAAAACCAAAAGAGAATTTTTATTATTTCTAAACTATAAAATAGTAGAGGATGATACAGAAGAAGGAGATGATGAGAATGATGATGATGAAGCATTAGAAGATTAAAATTTTATTTGGTGTTATTGCAACATACACTTTTGCTTGTTTCAGTGTTTATTTTTTTTAATATTTGAAATTATCAAAATGCTAATATTTTCATATTTTATTGCTTTTATTTTAATATATTGTTATATATATACTCATATTACCAATATGTTACACAATATGTTTCAAGAATGACAAATAATGTCTACTAAAGTCTTATAAGTGTTAATAAGGTTTAATAAGGTCAAATAAGTGAAAATAAGTGTTAATAAGGTGTAATAAGTTCAGATAAGTTCAGATAAGGGTTGATAAGTTTAGATAAGTTCAGTTAAGTTCAGATAAGTAAAAATCAGGTGAATAGAACACACCCTAAGTGTTACATAGTAGTGATACCTAATATAAAAGTGTTACCGTAAAGTGTTACATAATATTAATGTGTTACAAAATATGTTAATTAATACGACAATGTTACAAAAGTGTTACGTAAAAATCAAATAATCCTAAATTTTTTAAAGTGTTACCAATGGGTGTTACTTAAGCCCAATTTTGTACTAGTGTTCATATTGGCATTTTTGGAACAAATGGTCCGAGATACATAGAGCAATAATTCAAAATAATCAAAATTATGATAATTCAAGTAGTCTACCAATCCACAACCGCTGGTTCCCTAGTGATTATACTCCGCCAATTGCCCTCCCCTTTACCCATCCAGACGAATTCATAAGACGATTTGAAGCTCCTCAACTTAGAGATCGGATCTTCCATTTCTCATCGGAATCTATAGCAAAACTAAAAACCAAAGCCATCGAGGAAAGTAACAACACCAAAATCTCTTCCTTTCAAGCGTTGTGTGCACTTGTTTGGAAGTCTATGGTTCGAGCAAACCGCTTACCTAATGATCAAGTTATCCATAACTACTTACTAGCTTATACCAGGCATAGGATAGATCCACCCTTGCCCGAATTCTATTTTGGAAACTCTATCAAAGCACTCGACACGAGTACTACATCCGGTGAATTACTTGAAAACAGTCTAGGCTCGGTTGCATCATTGTTGCACCACTCAGTGGCGAATCTCAATGATAAACTTGTGCGTGACTTTGTGAATGAATGGATGGAATCTCGTTGTTGTTTCCATCATGCAGACCTCCATGATTGTAGCACGATAACAGTAGAGAGATCGCCAAGATTTGACATGTATGGCAACGAATTTGGTCTAGGGAAAGCAGTAGCTGCTCGTAGTGGGTATGCGAACAAAGCTATTGGGGTGATATATGCTTGTCCAGGACACGAAGGGGGCGGAGCTGTCGATCTCGAGATATGTTTGCCACCTGATTCGATGAATGCTCTTAAATCAGACCAAGAATTCATGGCTTTTGTATCATTGCCGAAGTAAGGATAAAAATCCTTGACTTTCGTATATTATGTTTTGTTGTGGTTTATTTGCATGGTTTAATGTTTAAGAAATTTCTAATTTTGTAAGCAAATTGTCACTTGTTAAGTGCTGCATGCTATTTCTATTTCACTTAATTAGAGTTGCATAAGAGTGATCTTCTAGCGTATTGTTCTTGGAAGGACACCATTTTGTAAGCTTCAGTTTTGAGTGTTTATACAAGTTTATTTAATTCTTGTTTTTATCTTCGACCTTAAAGTAATGTTAGAACCATTTTGTAAGCATCAGCAATAGTTTGTCTCAATTAGTTTAGCCATATTGTTATGTGACATTATTATGTAACATATTCTTGTGCGCCTCAACCATTGGTATCATATAAAATTTGAATCATTACTGTTGCTTCGTAGCAAATAAAAAATCTCTAATGGTTGGCTAAACTTTATAATAAACTAGTTTGGTGCCCCGTGCGATGCCCGGATTGTTCGTTGAATTATAATCTAACATTTCTTTTGAATAAAATTATAATTCAATTTTTTGTACGTCTAAAATATAGGTATTTTATCGAAAATAAAACTCTAAACTAACAATTTTATCCTAAAATTCTATTCAAATAGAATTTTAAACTAACTTTTTTTATCTTAAGAAGTCTATTTAAATCTATCCAACGTGGCGTGACACTTGGCGAAAAAATGGAACGTCAAGTGTCGCTGCCTCGTGACCTGGCTAAAAGTTTAGCTTTATATATTAGTTATATGATTTGTAACTTGCATGAACTTTTTTTTTTTTTGTTAAATCTACTAGTAGCTCAATCTGATCTGTTGAGCCAATGAGCTATATCATTCGCTAGCTAGTACTCGCTACATTTTTGGACTTGTTCTCTTCACCTGAAACAAGATCCGGTCTGAATTTTTTAAGGTCTGATCTGGTATGATCTAAATTTTTCTGATCTAATTTGGTATGATTTAACAATTTGACTAAAATTTGACAGCATTTTAATACTAATCTATAAAGAAAAACATTATCAAAATGGAACTTTTTAGATTCGCCTCATCATAAACTTTTTAAACATGTAATTTTCATAAAAAAAATTATAGGAAATTAACGATATTTAACATTAAATAAAATGATAATCAAAGGTTTTGATCTGGTCTGGTGTGATCTGATTTGGTCTGATCTGATACGAAATTATTATGGAATAAGTAATAAGTATCTAATTAGTTGAAGAGAACAAGTCCTTAATGTATGCATCAATTATTGAGATTGCATAAGTTTGTGGAGGGTTTATGTCGTTATTTTTATTTTTATTTTCATATTTATATGTAATCATACTAATCCGCCTCTGTTATTTTTATATGCATTACTTTCTATACATAATATGAAAGTATCATATTAGATGCATCCATTGGCGGACTTATACATATAAATTTTATACTTAAATATTATTTAAAACTAATAATAATATGATATAGACCCTTTTTTTATATATAGAAAGGCTAGTACGAGTATACTGTATTTTTACTCACAAAATCTGTAAACATGTCGTTTTACTCATATCTTTAATCACAAATTCTTAACTACACACTAGTGTAGCTAAACTAGCTGCAACAAATTTAAATATGAACATATATTACATAAAAAATGAACATACGTGTTTTTCTCTTCCTTATATTTAACTCTATCTCTCTTCTTCTTTCTTAGTTCTATTAATTTTCTCTCTCTTCTGGTTTATTCTCAATTCAAGATTTTCTCTCTCCTATTTTTTCCTTTTCCTTAAAAGTTTACTTTATTACTTCCCTTCAATCTTTAAACTTCTTTGTCCTACTCCGGATATTCTTTAATTCGTCACCACTGTAGCATTCTCCATCGTCATCATCTTCATCGCGATCATGAATCTTGAGGTAATTTAATTTAATATATACATTTTTTTTTGTGTTTATGAATATGCATATGAATGTTGTAAAATTGTTGATTTCTATCAATTATGTTATTGATAAATAATTATTGTCTCTATGATGAATCAAGATTAGATTTAAGGTGGAAATTCAAATTTTTTGAGTTAAAATAATTTCAATTGAACTTGTGTTAAATTAAAAATGAACACGAGTTTTTTAAAATTGAACAATTTTTGTACAAATTGAATATTTAGTACACTAAAAATGAACATTCAGTACATAAAAATGAACATATTTTAACGATTTATTTTAGCTTTATTCTTCGTAAAATTATTATATACAACGAATTTAAACCTATATGAAAATATGAAATCATGTTCATTTTAATGTATTAAATATTCATAATATTATTTGACGCGGCCTGTTCATTTTTTTACGCTTTTTTTATAATAAATTATCATTTATTTAATGTGTTCATATATTTATACGAAATGTTCATTTTATTTGGCATGGTCTAGCTATTTTATGATTGTATGATAAATGTTCATTTTTTTTACATGTTTGCTTTTTATTACTAAAAGTTCGTTTTTTTACGCGTTCAGTTTTTATTACTGAATATTCCTTCTTTACGTGTTCATTTTATTTAATTAAATGTTCGTTTTTAAAGTTGTGGTCTAGCAAATATATGATTATATGATAATCATGTTCATTTTTAATAAATTGTCAATTTTTTATAACTTATTCACTTTTTAGTATTAGACTAGTGAGTGACCCCAGACGTTGCCCCGGGTTGCTATTGTTGCAGACGTACAATCAATAATTTTTTAAAAGGCTTTCTAAAACTGCAATTGTCATTGTCAAACCAAAATTGAGGTATTATTTGGATATAGTATTTTTTTTAATTTTTAATATATTTTAACTAAATGTTTATTTTAAAGAGCGTGGAGTTGATTTAGGCGAATCGCGAATATATTATCTGGGTTATTTAATTTGAGCCAAGCGTTTGGGCCTTTTTTTCTTGTTGCAGCTATAATGTAGCTAAGACCCACTGATCTTTCATTTGGAGCTACTCTTAGCACAATAGGTCTTAGCTGCATTCTAGTGCAGCTAAGATAACTACAACAAGGGAAGGCCCAAACCGCAAGGTCCAAATCAAATA